GGGTCGCGCGGCACCTGGCGCTCTGGCTCTGCATGGGCACGCTGGGCGTGCTGTTCGTCGCCGCCGCGCACACGTCCAAGGTGAACTTCTGGATCGGGCTCGCGGTCTACGGCTTCGGCAACGGGCCGTCGATCGGCTACTGCTACGACCAGCGTCCTGTGGCCGTGGCGGTTTTCGAGAGATTTCGGGTGGGAAAACGATGAAATGTCGTGACCGACGTGCTTGGTAGGCTACGATTTGGTGAACCGCATCTCGAACTCGACGGTGGAGGGCCTAGTCGTGATCATGATGGGCTTGAACGTGGGCTCGTCGCTCGTGCCCTACACGACGTCGGTGATCTGGAGCGAGCTCGGGCCGGGCACGCTCATCTGGGCCATGCTCGTCTGCGTCACGGTGCCCCTGCCCCTGCTCTACGTGAGCCCCTGGGTCCTCGAGCGGCGCGAGAACGCCCTCGCGGCGTCGGTGCCCCAGCCGCGGCGGAAGCCGCGGCGGTCGCGGAGCGCGGGCTCCGACGCGTCGGGCCTCGGCGGCGCCGGCAGCTCGCGGGACTCGCTCGCGGACTTTAGCGAGGACGACCCCCAGACGGGCGACGACGACGACCACGACCTGCCCGTCTACATCTAAGCGTCCTTACACGTTCGCGCGGTTGAGCTTCGCGAGCGCCTTCTTGAAGACGCACTCGAACACGTCGGGCACGTTCGCGCCCGTCGACGCGGAGAGCTCGAAGTAGTCGTACTTGTGCGACGCGGCCCACTGGCGGCCCTCGGCCTCGCTGACCTTGCGCGGCTTGTCGACCTTGTTCGCGCAGACCGCGACGGGCAGGTCCCGGGGCATGCCGAACTTGGCGCTCTCCTTGAGCCAGTCCTCGAGCTGGTCGAAGGAGTCGCGCTCGCTGACGTCGAAGACGAGCAGCGCACCCTGCGTGTCCTTGTAGAACCTACCATGTCGCACGTCTCGCCGAAGAACTACGTCGCGGACGCCGCGGCGCGCTCGTTGCGGATCTCGAAGAACTCGGGCCGGCCGGACAGATCCCAAAAGTTGATGCGCACCTTCTTCCCGTCGACGTCGACGGGCTTGACGCCGTAGTCGACGCCGACGGTCTGGATGTACTTCGTGATGAAGCGCCCCTCGCAATACCGCTTCACGATGCAGGACTTGCCGCTCTCGGCGGCGCCCATGGTCAGCAGCTTGATGCGCGTGATCTTGTCGGCCCTGGCGGCGCCGCCGCCCGTGGGCGTCGGCGGCGCCGGCGGCGGCCGGGAGGCCGCCGGCGACGCGTCGGCCGACGGTCGTCGCACGCTGGACCGACGCTCGGGCATAACTCACCAAACTGGAAGCGGGGCATAAACCTTTCCCGTGAAATATCATCGGCTGCCCAAAGGCCAGCCCCGGATGAACGTTGCTCAGGGCCCCGAAAATTCTCCGCTGCGCACACGTTACGCTCTCGCCCATGGGCGAGGCGGGCCGGCCGCCGCCGGACTCGGCGGCGAAGCTCAAGGAGCTGCGCCGGAC